GCCTATCCCCGCGCCTCGCGACCCGCGCGCGTAGAGAGCGATTGAGAGGCGTACACGCTTGCCAGTAGTAGGCCGGACGAACGCGCTTATTTGGTTATATTTAAGGTCTAATATCTCGTTAAATATTGCGTCAACTGAAAAATGATACAAGACTTTTCGACTCAATTCGGTCTACTCTATCTGCTCATGATAGGTGATTCGCTCGATTAATGACACCCTGTATAAGTTATTCGGATAAACGATTTTATAATATTGCATTAAATTCATAAAATAAATAAATTTTTTTATAATAAATTATTTTTTATCAATATACATCAGCAACATGATTGAAAAAAATTTCTCTAAGGGAAGCGTCTAAGAAAAAAATTGAACATGCTTTTCTTGGAGTGCATTACACATATGGATGATTCTCCTGAAAGAAATCTTGTTAATACCCTGATTAATTTTGCCGACAATGTTTAATTTTAATTGTCAAAGATATGCCGTTATATAATATTCGAGTATTTCTCTAAATATAAATTGCTGTTTATTATTATTTAAGTAAAACAAATAAATGAAAAATAAATATACAAGTAAATATATAAATAAATAAACGTTTGAATGAACAAATGGATAGAACTAAACTGCTATTTAGTGAGTGTATAATAAATATGCTGTACAGAGGTGAATACAAACTCTCTCTCTCTTTTTGCATATTTATTTCGCCTGCATTCATTATACCGACGCTTGATCGAAGAATATATCTTCGGGGGCGCTAAAAATACGGGGCCCCTAATTAGTTTAGTAAAATTTTTGGTCCCAGTTCACCCCTGGCTGGAAAGCACACATTATTCTGTTTGTACCTAATAAAAGGTTGAAAATTGAAAGGGTAATAACAACTATTTTTAAAACCACCACTTATGGGCCAAAATGGAAGAATATAGATAACATATTTTTTTCGTATAGTTCTACATTTATGCTAATTTTTGAAAGAAATTGCAGAGTTACACTTTTAGTTTTACTAAAACGCATTTACTTGTTCGAAATGCGATAAGTAGTTGATAATCGTACATACAACGGACTTTTTTTCGTAAGTAGAATGTGGTGTGTCATTGTGCAGAAATACACGTGTTAAACATTTTTCACATTTTTTTTAAGATATTTGGGGCATCATACTTTTATTTGAATGTAAAATTACAATATAAAACTAATAGTTTGAAAAGTGAATACATTCGAAAATATTTATTATAAATAAAAATATTCAAAAGATTTAAATGCGAATGTATAAATTTTCAGAATAATGTACAATTTTATTTTAATTTTATTTTAAAAATAGGAAACAATTTTTTATGCTTTAGATATTAAATTCAATGGAAAGCCCAGATAGTATATAATTATTAGTTTTCTATAAAAATAACCGACAAAGTAACTATTATTTCTTTAATTGCAAGATGGCGTATAGATGGCATATATCTCATAATGGATTTGATAAAACAGTAAACTCCACTTTCGTCGAATGTCAACGCTATGCTACATAATCACAAGGACAAATCGTGGAAAGAGAATTCGTGGAGATCGACCATTACACAGATTTCGAAAACTTCTCTCTGATTTTATTCTGCTGTTTCTACACGTGAGAGAGTTGAAAGAGTTTCGAAACGCTGCGAGCTCGCTGTGGTCCTGACACATTTATGTGTAATGCGTATGTATGATATGCAAAATGCGCTTCAGTTAATATACTTTTCCATTTGATACATGTCGACTAGTAAGCGCGAGATTGGTATTTCCCCGATGGTTTCGTGAAAGAACAGACGTTCAACGGTCTTGGAAGAGACGCATCTCAGATATCCAACTAAAATCATTAATCTGCCGATTCTGCTAGGTTGTTGTGGATACCGTGATCTTGTATAATCCACTAAAATACGTTGTGCCTGATCCTGCAGTATCTCAATGGGCTGGACCGCGTGCAGGCCTACCGTCTCTATGATTTACAAAATAAACATATATATATAATGTATAATATACGATATCCGTTCATTATACCAATCAAATTAAACCATTTCTAATTATATTATTCCCGACGTTTCCGTAGTGTAGCATTTAAAGATTAATATTGATATAAAAATAATAATATCAGAGTAACAAAATTTGCTTCCGATAATGAAAAATGTGCAACGATTGCTATATTTATTGTTTAAAACAATCCACATTATTAGTGTAACAATTAACTTGAATGATATTAATTGTTAACGCTCTTTACCTGGCGTAAATAAAGCCACTGCCTTCATACAACCGCATTCACCAAAATCGGGAGACAGTTGCCTGAATCGGCATATTATAGCCTAGAACATAAGAAAATACTCCATTGAAACAAATTTCTTGCGAACCTGCAGACTAAAGAAAAATGCCAATTGAAATCGGGAAAACAATACAACGCAACAAATGCAAAATGTTATTCTTTTTAAATAAATAAAATAGTATTAGTGTGTGTTTACGCGTCTATATTTTATATCTAAGGAAGAGAGAAAAAAAAGACAAAAGACAGAGAGGTAAAAGCTAATAACATTAAATTAACGATATACTCTAATATAATTTTTGTTGTTGTCGTTACTGGGCACAGCGGACTTTAATGCAAATTGTACAAATAAAAAACTAGAAGCAACAAGTAAAATAGTAATAACATAATAATATTTTTTCTTTCTTCTGATAGGAAAACTTTATTCAATTTTGACATTTATTATGGTTACTTGCTGTAAGTAGAAGGGTAAATCGATAAACCTGGATAAGGACGAGCTCCTGATTCGTTGGGTTGTCGTCCGTAGGAAGTCTGCTACGCACTTGCTCATCCTCAAGGAGCGCGGTGATATCCCAGGAAACGGACCATTGCGCCAAATGCAGTAAAAACAGCTGCGTCCAGGATCGTTCTAGTAGCAACAATTGATCGTCCTTCGATATCGTTTGGAAGGGCGGCAAGCAACGCACCCATCTGACAGCCATGAATAGCAGTCGGGCCGTCGTCTCCTGCAGCATTAACGTTTATGTGACGCGACTTGTGGTGTGAACGATTGAAGAAAAAAAAAAGATACGCAATAAAAGTATTAGAAGATACCTGCAGCATTTCCCAAGTCGGACTAAAGCTCTGTACGGTGCCTGTTGGACTCCGACTCGTCTCCGTTTCTATTTGCTCCATCGGATACTCTGCTGTGGGTTGTAATCGCGCGTTCCAAACCAGTTCCTTACGGTAAAGAGAGACGATAATTTGTATAACGCGAGACTCATAAAAAAGAGAATACAAAGTGACATATACGCGCACGCGCGCGCGCGCGCGAGGATAGAAAAATCTTAGCCTGACATAATAATGACGCCATAAATATCGATCTGCTATAATTTTAAACGAGTTAATTTGATCCTTCACAGGTCTATTGTTAAAATTTCAGACAGATGCGTTCATTAATTTTTTTATTTTGGTTATGTAAAGCAATCAACTTTTTGTTCTATTATAGCAATTACTCACTCACATTTCTTCAATTGGAGGAACCAAAAATTCTTCCAAAAGTTGATTGCTTTACACGCGATCGAAATAAAAAATCTAATAAACGCATCTGTCTGAAATTTTAATTAACCTATGAAGGATCAAACTTGTCTAAAATTATAGCAGTTTGATATTTGTGGCGACATTTTTGTATCAGAACGAGAATTGTTCGAATTATCCTTGCAACAAATAGTAAAATGTAAGTATAGATACATGATAGGTGAATATTTCTCTCTGTAAAACAAATATTAAAGGAGAAGCATATTACGTATTTTTGCAGAAATAAAAATTCAATTTAAAATTCAATATTAATATAATGTTTTAAAAAATTAGTATTTATGAATATACATATACTATAAATATTTTATGCTGTCTTAGTTGTTATTTTAACTTTCCGTATTAAGTTATAATACGGAAAGTTAGAATAACAATTATATTATTCAAAATTAAAGTTATTTAATTTTGAATAATATAATTGCAAATATAGCCAACAATTGACATTCGCAAGATAAAAGGTATTATTACTTCCATTTTCGCCAAGAGGCTAATATTAATAATAATTCCTGCGTGTAATTTGTTCGCCATTTAGAGATCGCGAGGAAGAAACTGAATGGGGCAACCCGCCTTTATTAAATTTGCAGGAACAAAATAAGGGAAGCGGATACAAAATTAAGCTGAATTACTTACCTGACATTCCTCGGCGGACATTAGTATCTGCAGAAGGGGAGGCTGCGGCGCTAAGGAGACAGTTGTGGCCGCTTGATAGAGGGTCGTAGTTGTGCGAGGGTGCGGTAGAATCAACGGTACAGGGGACGGTGATTCCTCCGGCGGTTTCTGTACCAGCGCCATCGGTCGTGGATAAGGCGTGAATCTTTGGTCGCACCTTAACCTTCTACAGTAATAACCCTACTTCACGAAGAGTCTGTGTCGCTTCATGAAATTTTATCATCTTCTGTAACTACACGGGGTATGTTTCTACCATCTACGGATTAAATTCTTTGACCAATTCATATATCAGTTTTTTTTTCACCGACAAAAGTGTTACAGAAGATAATTATGATAATCTTTTCAGTACATTTATAATGTATATTTATAATTCTAAGGTGTTAATTTTACGTAATTTTATGTCAAACCAGCTTAACGTAAAGTTGTGCAGTAACCTTTCATCTAATTCTCCTAGCGACAGTACACAAGTATAATCGGCAAACTGTATTCTTTGGATTTCTATAAGTTCCTCAAATTAATAAAAATTCTTTGATTCAGTTAAACCTGCTGACAAAATCAAATTGAAAACTGGACACTTCGTTTATCTAAGAGAAATAATTTGGATTGTAAGAATCTGTATTAAAATACTATACTATATTAAAAGTACAATTCTATTTATTTATTATTCTTTTATATACAAAATATAAAGAACACAATCTTTATTTATTATATTCATTGGCTAACAAAAGCTATTAATTAACACCTGAACATTTTTAAAGAGAAAACATAAAATACAAACATAAAATTGATCGTAGAATCTGTCTTAATAGTGGACATTCTATATGTAGGTACATGTTAATAAATCGAAATAACTAATTCGCTTCTTTTTTCAATACCTAACACAAATGATAAATGTGGAAATTTAAGAATCACAATTATTCTATTATATTTTCCTTATATTAATTCAATTAATGTTTACGTTTTTATTGCTAATCATATACATTCATATATTGATATACTAATATCCATTTTTATCCTATCATCGGTATTCAATAGACCTGGACATTTTCTTCAACTACATTGTGAAAAATTATTTATAATTATAACAAACGTTTTTCACAACTTTACACACACATAATTTTAAGTTAAATAATCTTATTCCTCAGATTTTGACTTTCAACATGGACGAAATTATTCAATTTTCCGTTAACTTTAAGAAAAGATGTATAATATTAATTTAAAATACACTAGAGAGCCATGAATACCAGTTAAGAAAATTTTGAAGCGAATACCGATTAATGAGACAATTTAATGCGGTTAATACAAGCGTTACACACCTGTGTGGTGAGAGAACATACGGAGGAGCTAGTGCTGGTCTTAATCGATCACTGTGCACTGGAGTCGCAGAATGAGGAGACATTTGCGTGACAATCGGCGACTGTTGCTGATGCTGTTTCTCCGACGAAATAATCGCGTGGGGTTTTGGTTTCCTCGGTCCGCGCTCATGTTGCACTGCTAAACACCAGTTATGACGTAATTATATTACTTTTGACGTCTGACTGATTGTTTCGCGATTGTGTCATGAAGCTCTTAGATAGTCTAACGCTTCCCAAGAAAAACTATGGATACATACATTTATAATATATACGGTTATATATATATATATTTTTTCGTTTCATATACAAATGTTTCTGTTGTCAAAAAATCATAAAGCTATTCAAAGGAATATAACACAATTAAAATTTGTATATTTGTATACTTTTTAGATATACATTAAATAATTGTTTTACCTTTTTGTGTGTGAAGAAGATACATCAATGTATGTACATTGATGTATTGTCTCAACATAATTATAACTTTTTTTTCAAGTTCTTCGTGCGGAAAAGAAAGTAAAATCGTACAATTAATGTTTTTAAAAGCCGGTAACATGAATATATGCTCTCAACCCTTTCCCAAATATATTCTTATGCACCCTCGCTCTTCAACGATCGAAGGTCCGTATCTAGAAAACGCCTATCAATAATATCGGCGATGGACTTAACGGTGGGAGCGAAAAAGTGGGCACAGGTTGCGCGGAATTGAATTCGGGGTGTAACGCGCGTTGTAGGTCGTTCGAGATGTACGAGAGCTGTATATCCCGTGACCCGATGAGGAGAGGGGGGAGGGGCGAACAAGAGGTCGAGAGGGAAGAGGGGGCAAATCGCGGATGAAAGAGGGTGGTGTAGATCGGATGTGGCTGGCCGGGCGTCAGCTTCCACAGAGCTCGATCTTTCGAGCGTGGCTGCAAATCTAAAGGGGGAGTGAGAGAGAAAGAGAGAGAGAGAGAGAGAGGGAGGAAACGGAGGACGCTGTAGGGGAGGAAGACAGATAGAGCGAGATGGTGAAGCGAGAGCTGCAACTGGGTGGCAAGCACATCATCATTAATGAGGCTGAGCGGATAGCAGCCGCGGATTCCCACGTTCGCACTGGCGTCGCAATATCTCCCCTTTATCACGCATCGCCCCGTCGAGTGATATCTCGCCACTGCACTGACGCAACGAGAATTTCTTCTCTCACCGCGGGACATCAGTTTCAACCATCAGAATTCTATTTCCTCAAGAAGTGATATATACTTATGTTCTTAGTATGTCAACTACCATGACTCGCTCTTTAATCATGGCACACGATATTCTTAATTAAATTTATTTCTTGACACGTAACTTTTTTCAAATAGTCATAAATATGTATAAACTAAGTACTCCGATTTTAATGGACAATATCGCTACTGCATTGAACATAGAAAATTGTTGTTCGTAGAGTAAACAATGCTTTGCATTGGTTTTCCAGAAAGAGAATTCAGAATAATATATTAAAAAATTTATAGATTCTTTTAGAGGGATTCTAACACTATATTAGTTTCTTACCTTCTTCACTATATTACCTTCTTTGAAATATTTGTCTACTTCTTTATTTCTTTTACTCATACACGTATAATATCTTTTGTGATGAAATTTTATCTTTTTTCTTTAAAGATTAAATATTATTAAAAAGTAAAATAATCAAAATATTTATAATATATTCATCGTTTGCATCTCATGACATGACAGAAACATATTCGGTACTGTAACTGTCAATATATTATAAATAAACTAATAGAAGAAGTTCGTAAAATTGGATTAAACTTTTTCAACAATTTTGAACAAGTTTTGTTTCTAGGTGGAATAAATAGAAAATGAATATTGTAATAGACGATAAAAAAAATCATCAATTAAAAAAATATAAGAACTTTTTATTTTTTATCACTGCATGTGAAATAAAATATTATTTATCCTAAATGCTAATTTTGTTATCATTTTATTCGGCGCTTAAATTATTTTTATTAAGTTCTTTGTTCATTTTTATTTTAAGTTTTTTCAATTATACATTTTGTGCGTCTTATTATAATCTTGTATAATAGAATTTTGTTTTCTGTAAATAGTTTTTATATATACATGTTTTGCGATAACAATCCAATAACAATAATCCAATATCATTTAAAATGCTTTGTATATTTCTTTTAAAACCCTATACCATTATGAAGCGTTATAAGCAAATTGAAATTTGTAAAGAAGAGATGTTTTCACAAATTGAAACGGCGGATTTTATCTGCGCAGACAAGCGTATACATAACAAAAAGAAGCGATGCAAAATTCGCTTCAGGGTTGTTTGCTTTATCGACCAAATTGGCCGTGCACATCGTAACAGGTATAAATATTATTATTTTCCAGGAGTAATTGTTCTTTCAACGGTGAGTACCCTCACTGGAAAAACGCAGCCAGTGAAAAGACTTGTTTACTTTACAAACAATGATTTTCCGTGTTCAATACAGTAACGATATACCCGTAAAAAACAGTATCGTTTACATACATATTTATAAAGATTTTATTACACAAACTAATTATATATACATATATATGTATATTATGTAATTTTTGATGAAATTAGTAAATAAGAAAATGGTTCTTTCTTTGAAAAAAATAAAACAAAGACTTTATTTAAAATATATTGTTGAAAAATATAAAATTTTGACAGAACTTTTTAAGCATTTAAATAATTAATTTTTAATTCATATCTTGAACGAAATTTTTGTGAAAAATGTTAAGACGATAAGTTATATTAAAGTTTAAAAAGATAATGAACCCTATAGGTAAATTCAAATTTAGGAGAAATCGTGGTTTTAAGTCAAACGTATATTTTTCTTACATGTCCGTGTAAAACACGGAAATGTCGTTTGAGTAGTTTTAGTCTCAATTTTATCGGCTTTTGTCGAATCTGTCGCGAATCAAAGACGAAAAACGATCTGTTTTTTCGCAGCCACGTCCATTAAAAGCTCTCCTTTTTCGCACAAAAGCGCCTCACTTGCACGGCATCTCGCGATCACGAAGGAACATTTTGTCGCTTTGCACGCATCGCTGCTCAAATACAGAGCTTTATAGCTGAGCGGCTTAAGTTGGGCGAAGCGGAAACGAATGTGCGTTAAGGGAAAGCCCTTGGCATAGAGAAACGAACGGAACAAATTGATCTCTTAGCCCTACGCGAAGATCAATTGAAGAAAATCAAAGTTGCAAAAATTTTGTAAAAATAATATAAGAGTAATAGGGCTATTGTAAAGAGTCAGCGCTGTATTACTTTGTTCGCGATTTAACTAATAAGAACGTTTATAAAAAAAAAAAAGAAAGCAATAAAGTGTGAACGTTTCGATTCTGCTTTGAGCAATCTTCAGTATAAAAATAAACCATACAAAGATGTTTCGCTATTCTCTGTCCCATCTGACTTGCATCAATCCTCATTTTCAAAAAATGTTCGTTCACACAAACGGTTGATACTGAGTTGAAACTAAATCATATGAGGTGAGAGAGAGAGAGAGTAGAAAGCCAGGTAAAAAAAAAAAAATAAGAGATAGTGAAAAAATATCGTAATCCAATCAATAGAGAATAAAACTATAACATAAAAAGCAGGAAGAATGGAAAGTTACTTTTTAAAAGTAACAAGTTACAGTTACTCGTTACCGAGTAAAAAAAATAACGAGTTACTAATTATCGCTGTTTAAAAGTAACTCGTTACAGTTACCGTTACTCGAAAAAGTAATTTTTCGTTACTTTTTAAAAATCAGTTTGAAAATGTACTTTTGCAGTATTTTTTAAGTTTAAACGTTAATAAAACCAATATATATGTATAACACTGGCACTATATATAGTTTTATTTTTTAGTTTTTTTTTTAACACAAATTTTCGTAATTCAAATCTGTAAAATATGCAGCAAACTGAGATATATATGAAAAATTAGGCTGTTGCCTCTTGGAAGGACACACTAATAGATGAAACAAAAACATTTTCTTTAATTTTATCAAAAACATTATAAAACACTTTTTAGATTGAAAAAAATATAATGACAAAAGAAATAGTTCAAAAACCAATATTAATTTCAAGCAGACAAAAATAAAACTATAATATTTAATAATTAATTCAATAGTGAGCACAAGTTGGCTTAAAGGTATACTAATAGAGATAGTTACTTGAGTCAAAACTCAAAAGACATCAGCATGGATATATCCTGAACAGAGTTCCAATCAAGATCTTTTCAGGCCTTTAAAGAAGTAGATTGCTGTTGCAAACGGCAGTAAACATTTTCGCGCGTCAACGGCTTAGGCGAGCGATTTTCGAAAGTACGTGCGTATCCGGACGGCGAATGGACACGACGACGGGGATTAGAATCGCATGCGCTGGAATGGACCGCGCCCTGTTCGCTTTTCATCTCGTGATTCCGCTGTGTTTCTTTCTCTCTCCCTCTCTCTTTTACCATCTCGTTCATGCACACACACACACACACACACGTCATCTTATCGTGCACCTATAAACACAGGGCTGTCGTAATACTCTGGCCGGCACGTGTGGTCCACAATGCAAGTTCCCACAACGCAACGGAGTGGAGAGCGGCCGGCGTAGGCGTAGGCGCCTTCTCTGCACGCTTAAACACACGCACACGCGTATACACGTGGAGATACGAGCGCGTGATGAGGTATGGCATACGGGGGAGCTTCCGTTTTAACATTGTAGGACTACATCCGTGTAGATGCCTGCGTGCATGCGTGAGCGTAGAGCATACACGGTGCTCACATGGGCCATGGATCACGGGGCTCACACTCTCTATCCTGCTAAACGGTAAACCGATCTGTGAACATTTCAGCAGTCAGCGATCTCGAAGGCTAATCCTCGAGTGAATGGGGTTGATACACACGGACGTCACACCACCATCGCCGCATCACCTCCACCACCGTCGGCGATCGTCAACGTCCTCACTGTCGGAGGATTCGCGCGCGAATCGCACGCGTGTCGAACGCGTGTGATACACGTGTTAAGACTTCGGGGAGATTCTCGGGATATATTTTAAGAGGGTGAGCCAAAATGGACTTGCAACGACTATTTTAGTTAAAAATGCAAATTTTTTTTTTTTAATATTGATATCTTTTTATTTTTAATTTATCGCTAAATTTGATA